TATATACAAACTTTTCTTGTTGATAACTGGATTATTTGTTGGAAACGTTTCTATTCAATAAAGCTATCTAAATCTGAGAAAATGATATTGAGAATGTAAAATGAGTAATGATTACCATTTGATCATTCACACAAATCAATGAATTATTAGATGGCTTATCAACTGTCCTGCTAGAGGAGTAATTTTACAAAACTTGAGAGGAACCAGACTAGGCTCTTCTATTTTCTTATTCAAAGACTTGAGCCAATCGTATATTTCCTCTTTGAGTTTCATAGTGTTATATGTGTGCAGTTTGGAAAGAAAAGCCACCTAGAATGTGCTAGGTTTTCCCCAGACTGGTAATTCCTTGTCTCCTGCTTTGTTGATGGATTTATTGAGTTATAATCTGCTTCTCAAACAGGTCAGGATTTCTAAATGAATTTTCTTCATTTTCCCCTTTCTCTATTTGAATCCGAAGTATAAGACCACATAAACAGAAAGTTAAAGAAGGATCTTTAGTATCAGGCTGATGTAAGTATGAACTTTTGTGTATTTTTTGGGTTGATAAAACAAGTACTCCGTAGGTTTTAACTGCTGCTATCAGTGTTTAGTGGAAATGAAAATGTGCTAAAATATACTCAAAAGAGATTACTAACTTGAGTAGCAACTTCCATCCTCTTTACGGGTTATAGTTGTATCTCTGATCTCTTTCTTTATGAGTAGCATCAATTGGCTCGTTCATCATATTAATAGAATAAGCAGTATATTCATACTAAGCAAGACAGTTCAACTTCGACTTTTGTAGAAATGAATTGAACCAAACGATTCTCTTTCATGAAATTCGGCTGAATAACCCTTACCAAATCTGCCATACTCATTTTTATCGGTGTATTATTCATTCTTTATTAGTTAGTTGGTGCTTATTTGTTTATTACATGGATGAACTTCTAATTCAGTTAGATTTTATTATTTATTTTTTAAAATTTCTAGTAACTAATAATTTTAACTACAATATTATTTTTGGAGTACCCACTACCCACAAATGTTATTATGTTTGATGCTCTTATTATGCTTTTTAACTGCTAAGTGCCTCAAACAATTGAAGTATCTATCTAATTTGTGTAGGAGATGAAGCTTCAATTTTGATTTGAGTGACATCATTTTGTATTTTCGTTTTACATGGTAAAGAAAGCCTTATTGCTTCTAATTGATCTTTTTGTATGTTTTTGGATCTGCATCTTTTGTGCAGCAGCTAGGTGCTACCTTATTTTCACCTTCCAAATAAGTTTCATTACAGCATTATTGTTGTAATATTCTTTTTGTACATTTGTGGTGTAAAAATTGTAAAACTCAGAAGTTGCAAAGTCATCAATTGGCTTTGGATTTGAAGAGAGGAAAGGATTCGTAGAATTATCTTAGTTTGTCTTTCTATGTACATATGGACAGAATGAATTTATAATATAAGTTGTTGCATTTTGTGTAATTATCAAGTTTTTGAAGTGTATATACAAATGCATGTTCTTATATAATTGTTAGTACGGTGTTGTTAATGTGAATAACTGACATTATATGTACTGCGTATTTATTTATTTTTTGTTTAAAAAGCCCTTTCACGCCGGTTCTCGCAAATAGCTGTCGTTGTAGTGCTATCTCAAATATAGTTTTCACGTGGTAGCCTGTTTTTTTATTTTAATAATAATTACTTTTTACGTCGATTTTAAGGAAAACTTACGTCGTAACGTTTTTTATTTTTAATACTAAATACCTTTTACGTCGTTCTAAAACCGACGTTAAATGTTTATACCTATAACGTCTCTCACTTACAAGTCACATAGAAAACCGACGTGAAAGCATAAAAATAACCGACGTGAAATGTCCATTCTCTAGTAGTGTCCCATTGTTAGCGGGACGAAGGAAGTAACTCTTTATATATAAGAATAATAAGTACATATACTAAATTGTGTACACTAAATCATATCTATCATATAACTATATAAGTATGAGGAAAATAATTAAAATATCCCAAATTTTGAATGGGTGTGAGGTAAGCATCCCAAACTTGCATATGTAATTTAAATACCCCAAACATTATATAGAAATTTATTTTAGATTTTTAGCAATATGGTCATGCATTATTTCTCTCAATGATGTTAATATTTGGTGTTAGTTTCATAATTTAAAATATTTCGACATTCATGAAGATACAATTAACATTCAAAACTTTCATTAAAATAAATAATAGTACCCCCACTCTATATAATTGCAGCATTTTAAATTTTCTATTTTAGATTATACAATTAACACCATAAAATTAAATTTTTGAAAGAGATAATATATTACCATGTTGCTAAAATAATTTTTTATATAAAGTATGTGGTATTAAAATTACAATGTTTGGGGTGTTTATCTCAAACTCTTTTAAAGTTTGGGATATTTTAATTATTTTTTCTATAAGTATATAAAGAATATTACACCAGAGACCCACTTTGAAAACTCTAACATCCTTAACTCAGAGTCTCATGGAATACGGATTTACGGCTCAGGGCTCTACTTCTTAACGGTGAGAACAACTCTCTTCGATTCATCTAGATGGAACAATGCTAGGCTTGAGTTCGACTCTACCATCGTTGGCTTCTAATCTCTCTCATTATCAAGGATTCTACCCAGTTCCTTCTTTCTTCTATTTTCGGAATCACTCATGTCAAAGGTAAGTTTTCTTATGGTTAATATGGAGTGTGTATATTACAGTTTGGTGAGTTTACTCGATGCCTATCTTGTGATTAATACAGAGTGTGTATTACAGTTTGGTGAGTTTGCTCGATGCCTAATTAGGTAGTTTTTTACATCATTAAGATTTAGCAAAATTAGATACGGAGTGGGTACGGTGCATGTATACGAAATGGGATGCAAATTAAAAAAGAAATTGGGGCTTTGAATATATACGTCCAAAAGGTTGAATCCCCAACCCCAAGGGCCCCCCCACCCCGACCCGACAGGATGGTGGGGGAGTAAATCACGGTGACTCAGTCGGCAAAGCGGAAGTAGGCCTTTACCCGTGCGCACCAGAGGGCCAGCCTTATTTCAGGTTCTGAAAACCCCCCTTTTGGCCGCTGCGGGATTCGAACCTTGGTCTACGTCCAATTTTTTCCACCGCTCGACCAACTGAGCTACCCGTGCGGGTGGGGCTTTGAATATATATTTTACTATGAAGGATGTTTACATTAGGATTAGAAATTGGTTATTTAAGAGCATTTGGAGAAACGGTTACCCGTGGAAAAACCGATTCCCCATTGGGGCGGGTACGGTTCAAATACAATTATTCGAACGGGTAATGGGGCAGTTTCGGGGCAAACATTTATCCAACGGGGCGGCTTCGATTTTATGTGTACCTGGCCCCGATCCGCCCTGTTTCCATCCCTAATCATCATCATCATCGTCATCACCGTCTTCATCTTCTTTGTCATCATCATCATCATTGTTATTATTGCTTTACTATTATATTAATCGGACAAAAGGAATATTATATTTTGACTAAATGGTTGTTGGAGTATTAATTTAGGGGTGGACCCGGTCGGCGGTCTCGGACCGACGGGGACCGGACCCGCCACCGTGCGGGACCGGAACCGGACCCGCCATTGTGCGGGACCGGATCAGGTCCGGCTTTTCGATCCCGATCTTGGATCGGGTACCCGATCGGGTAATTTCGGTCTCGTTCTCGGGTCATAGAAATGGGGATCGGACCATTGCTTTCTGTCTTGATCCTTGTTTCAAACTTTCAAATTATCAAACATTTTTAGAATACTATTATACTGCTTTCTACGGTTCATTCCCTATGTACGAAGACACACATATAGATCCCCAAGCCCAATTCAACGAGATTAGTAATCTATTTCACGCTTTATTTAATGAGTTTCATGCATAATATAGTAATGCACCCCCTCTCCCAACACGAGTGTTTCCTTATTTAAAGGAGAGGTTTTTTTAAATCAACAATATCTACTCTTTTGAAAAAAAAGTAAATCAACTTATGTGTTGCACAAAGCTCGATTAACGAGCTCCATTCATATAATTATATCTAACATTTCCTGTTGAGTTTAATTAAGCAGAGGACTTTGATATTCTCCAATGGTGGAAGACCCACGAAGGGATGTTTCCGATTTTATCAAAAATGGCCAAACAAGTGTTGTCGATGTCGGTTTCAACTATATACGTGGAACAAGAGTTTAGTGAAGCCGGTAACGTTTTGACTGACTATAGAACGAGGTTGAGCGCTTCATCTCTTGCAACACTCATTTGCTTCCATGATTAGTTGAAGGCCCGCCGTAGAACACAAGAAGTCAAGATAGCACCGGAGTCCGGACCACCATTTCATGGAGGAAACAACGACCGACGCCAAAAGCGGCTCCGACAAATAGTTCATGTATTGTAATTTTAAACTATTCTCAATTATAATTTTCAAATGTGATATTAATACAAGTGACAATGTAGTGTTTAAAATAAATATACATCATTTATTTATTGTACAATAATTTTTTTTAAAAAATAAAGGACCGGACCGAACCGGAACCAGCCGGGTAGACCGGACCAGAACCGGGTCCGTTGAAACCCAGGTCGGTTCCGGTCTTCACAATTAATGGCCGGGACCAGCCGGTCCGGGACCTGACCGGGACCAGGTCCATCCCTAAGTATTATTATGTTTGAAACCAAAACAAAAACAAAACCAGGTTGTTTTAACTCAAAATTAGAACTACATTCAACTTAAAAATTTGCCCCAACTTGTGATATGGACCTGCCTACTTTCAGGACAATATACACATTTCACAATAATTGGGCAATGTACGATATTGTCAATTTATTAGGGTTTTGGTTTGAGCTCTGTTAATGGAAAGACGGCATTACATGCTCTTGCATGATCAGGAGACCACTTGTTTTACACAAACCAATCTCAACATTTAAGACGAGCAAAAGAGTACTTAGGCATGCACTTTTCTTCCATTGTTTTACTTTTTATCTTCAAACAAGCTGATCATTATTCATTAGTGCTGATGTCGCTGGTTGAATGCCACAAGTTCGAGGAAACAACTGAACAAAACACATAATAAGATCCCGAACACAAACGGAAGACATTGGTGTTGGCGATCAATTTATTTACTAGCTCATTATGTGCTATCAGTGCCTTTTTTAAGTTTAAAGAAAAGAGAGGCATCAAGTTTAGTAGATACACAAATAATCTTTCATCTGAACCTGAAGCCACAAATCTATCGTTTGAACATCTTTGATAAAGTCATGCACTAGAGGTTTCCAATAATTTAGCTATCCTAGTCCAAGCAGAAAGCTAGTTTGATATTTTTTTACACTAATAGGACAAAACTCTTACTGATGAAGTACCCTAACAGAATTCCGATTACCCCAACCAGCACACCACACAATACTGAGAAGCCATCGGTTTTTCTGTTTGCTTCTTTTTTCAACATCTCCTGCAAGAAAAATGGAAACATCTTAATCCACAACCCAATGTCTGAGCCCCACCCATTGGCATAAAAAAACTTGTTTGATTAAACACACTTCTTTCTTTATTGTAATTTGGGTGATGCAAATGTTATAAGTTGTTACTCATGCTTATATTATTATTATTATTTCACTTCACTTTCTGGTTATATACTAACATATCATATTTAACTTATTGTGACTTTTTCCAGAAATTTACTTCAACAAATAACTTTCTTTGTTAAAAGGAAAAAGGGGCAAATAAGCCCTCGAACTAACCGAAAAAGTGCAAATCACCCCTTTTATAGGAGGCTCTGTCCGGCGATCGTCATTTGGGGCGGTTTCCGGTGGAATTTTTAGATGATTTTTTTTGAGCATCTTCTTAATTTTACCGACTTAATGGCAACGGCCGGATGATTTGTTCTTAATTTTCGGTTAGTTCAAGGGCTTATTTGCACCTTTTCCCTTGTTAAAATATGACCTTGTTTGGTATGAGAACATACTTCTTGACTTCCTCCGCCCCAAATACCAAGTCATATTTGGTCTAAGTACAACAATTTAATTCTGAAGGGGTACAACAGGTTAAATTTCATTAAATCATACCAACGGAGTATGATTTAATTCAATTTGTCATGCTTTACTTCTAGTATTGTTTTTTGAAGAACTACACGAAAAACTTTTGATAGAAGAGCTTTTCAGGACAGAGAGTATCTACTTATTATAGGACAAGGAAGACTAAAAATGACATTTAGGAGCAATACCAGTTCGAGATGGAATTTCTGATTCTGTTGAATAGTAGAGCTTTTCTCTTCTGTCAACCTTGAAATCAATGACCAAGCCTGCACATCAAGGAGGTATACGTTGTTAGCCCAATGATTTGTGGAAGCAAAGCATGAGGTCATGTCACATTAAATTAAACAGAAGTTGATTCTCTAATAGTTTGCAGCAATGCTTGGAAAGCAAAATAAAAGAGTTCCTATTACAAAAGAGTGCCCAGCAAAAGTCCAGCAAAAAACTGTCCAGCAAAAGTATATCCAAGAAACAAATCAAAGACTGATGCATAGGTCAGTCCACGCTTTTCGGTGAGTAAAGTGGCTGGATAAACTGAACAAGTTGCAATGGACAAAATGTCAAAATGAATTACTCAAAGATTGGTTGTTAATAAATCTTGTTAAAAGCTTGTAATGCAAAATGTCTAGAAGCCTGGAATGTAAAATATCTTGTTAAAAGAAAAAGAGGCCAACTAAGGAACTCTTAGATGTGTACCAAATAAATATTCTTGTCAATCATAAACAAATACTATGAAAATATCGTTTACTTAAATCATACAAAGAGATATGGCTGGGGAAAATATTATTCACCTCTGAAGATCCTAACTTTTCTCTGGGCTCCTCGCTCTCCTCTATAGATCTTGATGCCTAATATTAAGTACAACGATAAAAAAAATAAAATGTAGGTATGAAATAAAAAGAAATATACTCCGTATGAAAATTAGGAAATCTTAACAACAAAACTTAGATTAAGTTGCATAAGTAGGTATGCATGTATATTTCACTTACAGCTTGTGACACTGGAGAAGGCTTAGTTTCACTCTCATTCAAATCCCTTGGAGGAGAACCCTCCTCTGATTCTTCAGGTACTGGTGAGGGAGGATTGGCAGGAACATAAACAACCCTCAATTTAAATTCATCCATCTCTCTCCAACTGCCCGCCTTAAACTGAAACAAGAAACAGAGGAAATGAGTCCTTAAACTATCACGGGAAAAAATAAGAGCATTGTTTCATAGGTGATTAAGAAAGCCCACTAGTTCAGCTGACAAATCCTTAGTTGTTGCGCCATCTGGTGCAACAGTGCTCTGTATCAAGAACTTATCCTTGCATTGCATATCTGGTGGAGCCTCCTTCGGTGCTTGCATTGTCACTTTTGAATTTCATAAATAAAAACATCAAAACAATTTAACCTAAAGCATTATAAGCTTAAATATTCCCTAGTCCAATTTTTAAAGTCATCTTGCATTAAGCTACAACATTTTTGGTAATGTACAACTTCAGTAAATTATCACTCCCACAGTCCCACGTATATTTTAAAACTAGCTTTAACATATTTAACTTCTATGGAACACTTCTGGAAAATGGCAATAAATTCAATTAAAATTAGCTTCTTTTTGTTTGGAAATTTGACTCTTACAAAGGAAAAACATAAATTTTGGAGCGAGACCTGTTTGTTTTTGGACAGGGTTACTGTAGAATACAGTAAAAATTGAAATTAGAAGTTTTACCGGTAACATTGCAAGTAGAGTTGGGCAAAACTACACCGGCATTGGGGCGAACACAATATCTCTTGGGGTTAGTGGTTTTAACCTGTTTCACATGACAAATCACTTAGCCATAAACTTGATGTATAAAATTATTTAAAACAGGGAAATATAAAGCACCCCCGACATGGGCTGAGTTGAACCTGATAAAGAAGATAATACCTTGAAAGCAATATACTGATCAGTCTTGTTAGATAATTGCACAGAACATGAACTCTGCCTCCTCACCTCAACTTTTCCGCATAACCAAAATAGAAATCATAAATTGACAACATTAAATCGAAATGAATCGCGGATACCGAAAAGAGAAATCATGGAGAACCAGTTTTCTGTTTGATTAAATATAAAATCTTTGATGAAGAAATGGAAAAAGAAAGTAGAGTTCAAGACTTATTCGACTTACATGGGAATTTCAGTTCTGCGGGATAAATATTCAGATAATACCCTATGCCCATTAGCTTACAGAGAGTGTAAGACTGGAACAAAAGTATATATGGCTCTGATGGGGAACTCTTGATGGAAATCGAGGAAGAAGAACTAGGGTTTCGGCTATTGTAGTGAAATACGGAGTAAATGAAAATCAAAATTGGAGTAGGCGGGGGAGCCTGGGCTACTACACCATTTGAAGAAGTTATGCTGGGATGGCCAGGTTTCTATTAAAGTAGTCTTTCCACGACATAGAATAATTATAAAATTATTAAAAATTACTCATATGAGCTACTCCCTCCGTCCCATTAGAAGGTTCCGTCTACTATTCTCATGATCAACTTAAATCATTTTTAATCTTTTATTTTATAAATTAAATTTTTACCAAATATACATTTTTTTTATCAAGCTTTGCAGCGGTTTTAATGTAGTTTCTGAATATGTTAATTTTATTTACTAAAAATAATCAGAGTGTGAACAGGGATTAAGTTGTTTTATCGTCAGTCAAGCAATCATAAACCGTTAACGGGAAACTTCTAGAGGAACGGAAGGAGTATAATTTATTTACTAAGGTTGATTATGTTCGAAATCACACTCCAGTCGAAAAAAGTATAGCAGGCTTTAGAAAGTGACATAGTATAGTAGTTTTTGAAGAATACATGAGAGAGAAAATTACTACGTACAAAGTTTTGGCGGAAGGGATTGTATTGACTGAATTGGCCGATTCTGCTAACATTTACAAAGTTTTGGTTGAAGTGGTTGTATTGACTGATTTAGCTGATTTATGAAAAAATTATATTTAAAATACTTTTCATTAATAATGTAAAGAAAAAATTATATGAAAAATAGCTAAAATGATCCTCAATAATAACTTAAACCAACCAAAAAAGTAACTTCAATCTTACTTATTTTGATTATTACACTATTCAGCGTGCGAAATCAAAAGATACGTGTTTGAAAAAGTTGATAGATAAGGTTGATAAGTCGAAAAATAGGGTAACCAAACGGACTCATAATATATCAAATCATGTGTATCAAGGATATAAACGACAATTTAGAATGCCTCAAGAGAATATAATCAATATCATGTATAGAATAATGCCCAGTAAAGTGATAACGTGCTTTTTGAAATTTATAATGAGTATTTTTTCATATTAAATATATATTATGCACTGAGTAATAAAATTGGTAAATATATTCATATATGAGGTTCAAATCTAGTATTTTCACAAAGTAGTTATTCATAATATATTAATTTCACGCTTATGATTTAACAATAAGTGAATCTGAAAGATTACTCCAGGCACCTCAGCCCCCAACCCCCCGAAGTAAAAAAAGAGAGATTATCTACACTTGGAATCTTTTAAAAACATAGTCATGGGAGCTATTTCATCAAATCAGACCAAATTCTCCAATTGTGTTATCCAACATTATCAATATGAAGTGTCAATGCATGAGCTTTGAGATCAAACTTCCCTAATACCTAAGTTTCAAACTGCAAGTTTTCATCAGTCAAGTAAATAAAGGAAAAGGACAAAAGGCATCCAACACTCAAATTCTCTTTTAGAATTGCATACATATTGTGGTTGGTGTGTTAGTTTGGGACAACATGCAATTTTGAGAAACTAAAATGAAACTATGACAAAAGAGATTTGGAAAAAATACGTAGTATAAGACAAAATCTTTACATCCCCTTGACCCATATTTCTGTAAAAACATTTTTCTCCAAAGATATATAGAAAACAATCCGAGTAGATAGCAAATTCACACTTTGTACCTGCTAATACTACTTAAGTGCACAGAATTAATTGCTTTCTTTCTCGGTGTGACTCTTCGCAAATTATATGGTGCAACCGGCGCACCATGAGGATGGTGTGCCCGGTTGCAAAAACGACGCAGTTTTATCTTTTTTTTATTGTTTTTTTTGCTTTTGATGTTAAAAATGATAATAACTTTTTTATTTTTGATCCGATTTTTATAAAATTTATATCAACATTTTTTATTTTTCATGATCTTTCAAATGAGACCAATATTGTGTATGTAATTTTAAGAAATTATCGAACTATTATATTAATGAGTATTGGATTATAAGAAAAATCGAACCTGTTCGGGAGATGATAGGTTTGTGAAATAGAAGATCGAATCTGTTTGGGAGTGGATCAGTGGCCTCAGTTACATTTGATAATACATTGAGTTACATCTTTTTATGAGCGAGTTACATCTTTTTATAAGCAAGTTACATCTTTTTATAAGCGAGTTACATCTTTTTATAAGCAAGTTACATCTTTTTATAAGCGAGTTACATATATATATATATATACACACACGAGTTGCATTTGACATGTCTGAACGCGACTTACATATATTTACACGTAAAGTTACATATTTTTACATGTAAAGTTGCATATTTATACACGCCAGTTACATATTTATACACACGAGTTGCATGTGACCTGTCTAAATGCGAGTTACATATTTTTTTACGTAAAGTTACATATTGTTACACGTAGAGATACATATTTATACACACGAGTTGCATTTGACTTGACTGAACGTGAGTTACATATTTTAACACTTAAAATTACATATTTTACACACAAATGTTAATATGTTAAAATTACATAGGCAATATTGGTCTCATTTGAAAGATCATGAAAAATAAAAAATGTTGATATAAATTTTATAAAAAGCGGATCAAAAATAAAAAAGTTATAACCATTTTTTAAAAACAAAAGGAAAAAAAAATTAAAACCGTCCCGGTATACGCACTCGTGACTCTTTTGTGCAAGTCTATAAGAGTACAGTGCTTATACTGTGGGATCGGTGCATGGTGAGCACCATGCACCCTTTGTTATTTTCTATTTCTCCTTTTCTTAAAATTGTTAATGATTTTTTTATTTTGAACTGATTTTTATAAAAATTATATCAAAATTTTTTATTTTTCATGATCTTTCAAATGAGACCAATATTGCCTATGTAATTTTAATTTTTTACATTCATACATTTTTGTAATATATTTTTATATGCATACACTTTTTCTATAATATATATATTTTTATCACTTTTATATGATTTTAGAGGTTTTTAAGATATTGAGTTTGTTTATTTTGCTTCTAGCTTGGAGTTACATTTGATAATATACGAAGTTACATCATCTTATACTCCAGTTACAAGTTATTATGTGTGAGTTACATCTTCTCATGTGTGAGTTACATCTTGATATACACGAGTTACATACTTTTATGCGAAAGTTACATGTAATTATGTGTGAGTTACATCTTGTTATACACGAGTTACATACATTTATGCGCGAGTTACATGTAATTATGGGTGAGTTATATGTAATTATTTGTGATTTTTTACTTATCTTTATCTTGAACTAATTCAATTATAACTGAATTAATTTTTTTCTTTGCCAATTTAATACGAAATTTTATTAATCCACATAAAATAAGTATATTGTATTTCATATTCATACACTATTTTTCAAATGATAAAAATGAAAGATGTAGCAGGGATTTATTTCATGGTGTAACTCACATACATTAAGATTTAACTCGTGTATATTAAGATGTAACTCGTGTACAATAAGATGTAACTCGCGCAGAAGAAGATGTAACTTCATGATATATTATCAAATGTAACTTCAAAATAATTTGTTAAAATTACATAAACAATATTGGTCTCATTTGATAGATCATGAAAAATAAAAAAAAATTGATATAAAATTTATAAAAATCAGATATCAAATAAAAAAGTTATTACAATTTTTAACAATAAAACAAAAAAAATGAATGCTGCGTCGTTTTGGGATCGAGCGCACCATCCTCGTGGTGCGCCGATCCCAGGATATAAACTGCGATAAGAGTATAAGGCCACAATTTTGATTTGAATACAAATATCTTAATGATTCTTCATCATTGGTATGCTTCAATGGCAAGGTTAGTTTTAGTCTTTTGCTTCCAACTCAGCTATTTTTCCTCTCCTACACAATTGCAACGTGTGGAAACAGGACCCACCTCGATCAGCACCAAATAAACATCACCACCTTGATATAAAAATATCAACCAATGAGTTAAATGAACTCTTACCTCTACAACTGTCAATAATGTACCATTAGAGGAACTTTTTCTAAAGATCCTCAGGAGTTCTGGATATCACATTTATGGTCTACATCTTGGTAATTAATTAACCAACGAAAAGTTGCAAGTCAATTTGAATTTTTTAGCGAATGCTTTCGTGTAAAAAAAAGAATGATATATTTAATTAATGAATGATTAATTAAATTATTTATCGGGTCCATAATATTGAGAATGGGCTACCAAATATTTTGTTGAGTCATCATAATAATTATAGAAGCCCAATAAAGTGTCAACTAAAGTTGAGGAAAATGTTTGGGCTAACCCGGTGCTATTTAGACCCAACCTGCCAGAAATAGCAATAATAATCGGGGGAAACTTCCTACAGCCATTTGGGGTTTTTACTACATGTGTTGTATACTCTAAATGATGGAATGAGACAACAAAATATAGGGTGGGGCGGACTCATGCAAGAGGGGAAGATAAGATGATTGGAGACAAAACTCACACCCCTCATTCACTTGCTCTCACATTATTTCTCAACTTGATTGAGAAAGAGATATCGCATCCTTCATTCCTAGCCATTTGACCAAAGCAAGAGGAGAGAAGCTCTAGAGAAAAGCTTTCACTCCGCCCAAGCTTGAAGGATGCAACAACAAAGAAAATCGAAGGAGAAAAGGATTGTTTTTGAGGTAAGAACTCAACAAACAATCTTTAACTAGTATTATTGTGTTGGATTTTTAAGGAATCATATGATGGATTAAACCAAGAGTTCTACACGTTTAAAAGTGTAGAATATTGATATAAAGTGGTGGTATTTAACTTAGAAGAGTTGGTGAACCGATAGGAGTCGAAATCGTCGGACCCCCCCCCCCCCCCCCCCCCCCCTCAAAAGGAGCTGCTCGAAACTGCAGAACCCGAAAGCCGCCCAGCTTTCACGAAAGTTGCACGGCTTTCACCCACTGTCCAGATTTTCCATTCCTGATCGGCCTAGAATGAGGACGGATCAAGGGGTTTCGCTAAGGCAACTAGTTGAGCACATCATAAGGTGAGGATGGCCGACTATATTGCTTATAATTAGTGAGTTAATTTCAAAAGATTACCTAAGGTAATTAAACGTGATTTTCGAATTCATGGATTATTAATGATTAATAATGCCTAAATGAAA